AACACTCAAATATAGTCAATCACTTATAATTATATATTTACAAATTTACAAATCCTTACTAAACCAATTTTTTCCAATCTCTATTAGATTAATTTTTAAAATATATTAAAACTAAAGTTTGTAATGTCAATAGTTTACATTTTAGCTTAGTTAATTATTTAATAATAATAATAAGTTACTTGTACTATTTATCTTCGACGCGTAATTTTAATTGAAAGTGAAGCTTTAACTTTGTGTGTACTTTGGGTCAAAAAGTAATATTTTGATCAGATAAGAAGTACTGTATTCAGTTTACGTGGTCCCCACAACAACATTCAAATTGGAAGAACAAAAATAAAAATAAAAATAAAAATAAAAAAGCAGCAAGAACAAAAAGGAGCGACAATCCGACCAAATAACGGGTCTTACTGGTACCTCAACCGGGCCAGAGAGATCATGGGCCCATTTATCTGGGCTTCTATTCACATACTCCACGAACCACATTTCCCCACCCTGCTCCAGAATTAAAACCATTTATTTTAATTTATCATCACCTTATAAGCATTTCAGAGTTTAGTGAAGTATTTTCATAATTCCGAAATAATTTTTCTTACCATCAAGGACTGATTTAACTGTGATTTGAGCATGATTACCTCTTAAGAAGGATACATGTTTTATGGTTTTATGTATTGATGTCTGTTTAACGAGTTCAAAATTAGGAGACTTTGCACCAACAGATGTTTTTATCAATGTCAATGACGAGGAGTTATCTATGATAGCCATTTTGCGTATTTCTTTAATAAAGTATACACTCACGTTTAAAATTGAAAAGGTATTTAAGATGGGAAGGTTTTCTTTTTAATATATTTTTTACTACATTTAAGATTAAGAGATGGTTTAATAATATAAATTCTTCCTCTTACAAGTTTTTAAATTGAGATCACAACATAGATCCTTCAAATGGTAAGCATGCACATTACGTTTTAGGTTCATCTACCATAAATTAATCAATTAAATAATAAAAAAAAGGTGAGGGTTATCAATCTTAATGAAATATAATTACAATTTTATAAAAATAAATTACTTTGAAATTAAGAAAATGTAGTTGGTATCAACCATGACGAAAGTATGATTTGTTGTTGATGACTGTCACTAGGGACAAAAACGATTCACATAGATTTAGTGACAATGTGTTATAATCTTATTTGAGTGAAAAGAGAATATGTCAATTATTCAGCCAAATCTTATACTGAGTAATATGAAAAGGAAAAAAAAAGCAAGAACAAATAGTAGATTTGATAATTATACAACTCCGTAAGTCTCTCAAGTGTATTGAGAGCTTAAGTAATAATGTGTTACGAAAAAGTTTAGAATTTTGTTAATAAAATTATACAAATTTTATTAAATTTTTTTTTTTTTTTCTAGAAAGATTGTACAAGAAGAATTGCAATTTTTATTCAGAAAGATTGTATAAAAAGGTTTATAATTTTTGTGAGAAAAAATTATAAATTTGTATATTTATTGATTTTAATATATTTTATGTTTTGGCACCTTCAAAAACTTTATACATCTATCTCGGGATCCAAAATTTTTTATTTTCTGAAGATGCGCCACTAAGAACTTGTATAAAATAATTTGTGAATAATGGCATTTATATTTTTAGGAAAGGTAATTTATTTTTATGAAATGTGATATTAAGTTGATTGAGTGGAATTTGATGTAGTATTGGTATTTATTTAGTAGATAACCCTAATGTTGTGGTAAGAGGAAACGTGTTGATTAGTTGTAAATGTTATTTGGTGACATGGGAAGGAAGGTAGGGCATTAGCAAATGTGTTTAAGTTTGAGAGAATGTTTCCCCTTTTGGTCTTTTCACGACTTCACTTTTTGCACGACTCAAAGGCACGTGATTGCGAGCCATATGATTGCCAATTTTCCCTAACAATCCATGTGGGGGCTTCTTCTTTCCACTCCATACAATTTACCTTTTTTAAAAAGTTTAACTATGACAAAATATGCCTATTTCACTCCAACATCTCCTTAAAATGGAAAAATAGAAAGAGAAAAAAGAAATAATAGAAAAATGGTTTAATTAAAACAAATATCATTTCAATGGATAGAAAGAAGAAAACATAAGCTAAAATGTGCATAATCAGGTACTCATCCTGAAAAAATAACAAGCAGGGGACGAAGACCAGGGTAAAATAGCATTTTTCAGCTGCTAATTTAGATTAGCTAAATGCAGCAAGTTTATTTGTCATTTTGTCCCCTTCTTTAACTAGCCTTCAAGCCAAATGAAGAAACTAAATCATATAAAATGATGCATGATGGAATTGGTTTACTGAACCAGGAACTGGAACTGGTTGTTATTGAATTCGGGGATTTTGAGTTATGCAGGTGGTAATTGGATTGTTGTTATTGGCAGTTATTGGTGTGAGATGGCAAAGTTACCATACAAACTCACCTCCTTGCTCCACTCTTAACAGTGGTGGAACTGGTTGACCGGTGACCACGCCCTGCAGCAAAAGCAGATATAAATTGATTGATCAGCCAGCCAAAAGCATAATTATCTTTTCTGTTTTCTATTTCCAAAGAAGACCAAGAAAAAGATACGCTACAAATGCATTCTTGTTTTAGGAAAACAGAATGCGTATGATATAAAATTAGGGAATTATTAGAGAGAGCAAGAGTGAAAGATTGTGCAAAAGCTTCCGAGATTTTCTTATGCAAAGAAAAAGACAATTCTTCAGAAAATAACAGAAGAAGAGACAAAGGAAGTACACCAAAACCACTTAATTAAATATTCACGAGAGGCTGGCTTGCCCTCCTAGGAAAGGAGGCTTACAACTAGCAAAATGCTTGCACCCTCATTCTTTCGTTTATTACTGTAAACAAAATCCATTTCGGCATTCCCCACTCTCCCCATCCTCTTTTATTTCCTGCCTTCCAATCTCAAACTTCTTTCTCACCTCAAACACACAACCCATTTACTTTTTTTCTCTCTGTTGTCAGTCATGGAAGTTAATACTACTGCCACCGTACCTGCAGGGCCACCAGCTAAGAACCATTCTTTCACACAGCACCGCTTACATTCAGAAAGACATAGACATAGCCACGGCCATTTCCCCACCAAAACCATTCTCATTACCGTCTCATTCGTTACCTTAGTTACGGTCCTATTTGTCATTTTTGTGGTCCTATTCTTGATCCGTCGCCAAAAATCTTCCTCCAAAAGTGGCACTTGCAAAGAAGACAGCACAGAGCTTCATGACACAAGCAGCAGGCTCATTACTTCATCAACGTTGAATTCTAGCCCAGGTAACTAGCTTCCTCGTCACATGATATCAATGAATTGCAAACAGTATCTTAAATACTAATTAGTGAAGCAATACTATAACTATGTGCAAACTTAGAAGAGTTAATTTGCTAGCAATTACAACTGCATAACTTTCCAGACTGCAGATGATCATATAAATTTGTCTCTAGCATATCATTAATTCATTAGTTGTTCTTAACATTAATTCAACTAGTCTTTGAGGGGTGAGGCTTTAAATTCAGAAGCTAATCCATAAATGCTTGGAGACATTTATTGTAGAAGTAAAGAGTGGGTGTCTTCACGGGGGAAATTTGGGCAGGACCCCAGCACCTACATTTCGAGGAGTCCAAGTGTTCACATATAGGGAACTAGAAATTGCTACCGATGGATTCAGTGAAAGAAATATGATTGGTGGTAATGGAGGACATGGCTTGATGTATAGAGGAGTTCTAAGTGATGGCACTTTGGCAGCAATTAAGTTGCTTCGCAGTGAGGGTAAGCAAGGGGAACGTGCCTTCAGAATAGAGGTGAGTCAGTGTGCTTCATTTAATGAGTTACTATATCCTCTTCTTTTCAGCATGCAGAGATTGAATTATTTCTTGTTGTTACTTGCACCTCTCTCTCTCTCCCAATGTCTCCTTTCCTTGTATTAGATCCAGTTTGTTCAGAGACTTTGTTTTTGTCTTTTGTTAAGCTCAAACTAGTATTGCTTGCCTAACAAAATTTGTAAGTCGTTACGAAATGTTTACATTAATGTGAAAGGAATTTTACAAACTATCACGTGACAAACTTCATATCCTACTAGCAGATTATTTATCCCTTAATGGTTTGACATTTGACTCCAGCAATTAGGGATATAAATTATTCTTAGGTTTTCTATATATAATATCTTAAAGTTTTAACCTTTCTGCATCTTCTAACCTAGAAATTTTTGTATAGTGTGAAACCATGTCAAAGATTAAAAAAATCATTCACAAAATTAAAATAAGTTAAAAAGATTTAAGTCATTTGAATAATGCACTACTATTGAATCAAAATATTAATAAAATTTATTCATAGGTCATTAAAATACAGACAATAAGACATTTCCCGTCAGCGATTATCCTTTTAAAAGAAATCTCTGGCGTTTTGTAACCAAATTTGGGACCATCAAAATTGGAATGAACATCCATTTACCTTTCTATCAGTCCATCCCACTTGCCAACTCATATTGTGAGCTTTATTCAAATCCAGCACATGGGTGTGAAGACTAAATGACATTTATTGCAGGTCGATCTCCTAAGTCGCTTGCACTCTCCATATTTGGTGGAGTTACTTGGCTATTGCGCTGACCAACACCACAGGTTATTGATTTTTGAATACATGCCCGATGGTACACTTCACCACCATCTTCACTCCCCCAACGATCAAACTCAACCGTTGGATTGGTGGGCCAGGATGAGGATAGCCCTTGATTGTGCCAGGGCACTGGAATTCCTTCATGAACATGCAGTGTCTCCGGTGATCCACAGAGACTTCAAGACTAACAACGTTCTGCTGGATCAAAATTTCCGTGCCAAGGTGTCTGATTTTGGATTGGCTAAGATGGGATCAGAGAAGAAGAACGGTCAGGTTTCCACCCGTGTATTGGGGACCACTGGATATCTGGCACCAGAGTGAGTATTACAAGTGCCCCATTTCATCTGTCATTTGGAAGCGCCCTGCCTTATCTTCATTCTCCACCCAATCCCAGTAATTAACTTACAACGTTAAATAAAGAACCTTGCACATGGTCATAGTCAAGTCCTTATCAAGCAGGCTGTGATTTTGAATTTTATCTATGTACATGTCATAAAAAATTTATACTGCACACCATTCATGATATATTTACAACTTCTTTCATAAATTATTGCATAAATTTAATTTGTCCCTTAAATTTGGGCATGATGTAGGTACGCCACGGGTAAGCTTACCACAAAGTCAGATGTTTACAGCTATGGTGTGGTTCTTCTCGAACTCCTCACGGGACGTGTGCCTGTTGATATCAAGCGGGCCCAGGGAGAACACGTCCTTGTCTCTTGGGTTAGTAAATAGCACCCTGCAATTTTGAATAGAATAAAATTGATTATGCAACTTTTGTTTAAAGAAATCAAAGGAGATACAAACAGAGTTGAGAATTAAGTTTCTAGTATTGCCAAATATTAATTTTGTAACATAAGATTTTATGCATTCACCAGGCTCTTCCACGGTTGACAAACAGAGAAAAGGTGATTGAAATGGTTGATCCAGCTCTACGTGGACAGTACTCAAAGAAGGATTTAATTCAGGTCAATTTTTCGTTTAGTCATAGATTCTCTCATCCTCATCACTGTCACTTAATGTCTTGGACTAACCATACTTTTCCTATCAAGTAACATTTGCTTTCTGCTTCTATGGGATTTTGCAGATAGCTGCCATTGCAGCAATGTGCATACAGCCAGAAGCTGATTACAGGCCGCTCATGACAGATGTTGTACAATCACTAATACCACTTGTTAGGAACCCATCCTCCCTTAGTTCTAGCTCCCTACGATTTCAGAAACAAACACCAAAGAGCAGAAGCAGCCTAGAAATAAACTAACCTAGTGTTACACTAAACTAGCCCTTGGACAAACATTAGGCCCAAAAACACGAGCAATATCACACTCAATGGGGGGCACCACCGAATTGGCAAGGTCCAATGGAATTCCCTCATCTCTACAGCCTTAAATAGCGGAGAAGAGAGGAGGGAAGAAAATGCAAACAAAAAGACGATAAGGAGGCATGGAACTTGTAGTTCTAGATTTTGCTTTTATCATTTTATGATCTGTATTTTAGATTGTCTTTGTCATGAGAAACTTGCAAAGATACAAGGTAAGAAAATAAGAGGAATATGAACTTTCTAATAATTATGTCGCTAATATGAACAGACATTTCTGCTGCAATATGATGAAACTTAATATTCAAGAGTATCGCTTCCTGTAAATTCTTAAATCCCGTAACTCACCGCGTAAAAACAAAACTTAGTGACATACCTAAAATCAGACTGGATCACTTTTGACCAACGGAAAACGAACTTAAATATGGAGATCCCCCTCTTAGAGACTGACAAGGAGATCGATGGAATCTAGCTTCTTTCTATCTGGCAATTGGCAAAGAGCTGAATTTTAGGCAGTGCAATAGGAGACAACTATATTAAAAGCTAATTCACTTTTAGTATAAGGAGAAATACAAACATGCAGACGTGACAGACATATGGAATCTGACCTGTTTTAACCCTCACGACTGGTGTCTGACTGAAAGCAAGGATTCCCCACAAAGCATGTAGCACAACAAGGAGCCCGGCTTGTCATATCAATGGACATTTCCTGATAAAAAGATTAGCAAAATGATTGCGACAGGCAACAGGCCATCAGAATGGAGAAATATCAATGTTACCAACCCGAACAACGAGGGATGAACCAAAGATGATGGGAAATTATTACATAGTGTATAAGTATTTGTAACCCAGACTTGGAGAACTAAAAGTCCTTTATAGTCTGATATTCCTTCATTCTCCATTAAATAATAAAATGACTTTTCTAGCGCCTTCGTGACAATGTCGAAAAATACAATATCCAAATCATGAGCAGAAAATACCTGGAGCTAGATCATAGGTTCCTGAGTGGGGTTATAACTTGTTTGGGTGATCTATCTGTTTTACTTTTCTGATTTTATTTGATTTTGTTTTGTATACCTGTTACTTTTTTGTAATACACCAGCTAGTGCTATGTCACTGATATATATTATGTACCCTCTATCTTAAAATATAATGAAATATAAAAATACTTTTCAGAGTATATTTTGTTCATGGTACTCAATATTAAACATGACACAATTTTTAATATATTATTTTCTAAGTAAAAATTATGTAGTCATTATGATATTACTATTGCATCCGGTAGTAAAGTTGAAAACTTCGAGCTCCATCTGGAAATATGCACCACTTGTAACTTCTAAACCTGTACAACCCCAACACTACCCCAAAATGGTGGCAAGGCAAGATCCAAAAGTGGTGCAATAGACAAAAGAAGAGTTTGATAGGCACTAATTCAGAAAATAGGTTAGCTGACTGAAACATTAAACAACAAATCCATAGTGGTGTCAGAGTCAAGAAAATAAGTTAGACATAACGTACAAAGTACCTCGTAAATGGGGAAACACTTATCTCAACAACCGAAAATCCAATCTTCCCTCTATTTGTTGTTATACCCCAACGGGGTTTCAGAAATAAGCTACATCTTGTACAAACATTGGACAAAAAAATTCCTAAATGGTTTGAGAATCTAGAATAGAAGGTAGAAACAATGTACAAAAGTGAGAATATCTCTTAAACAGGGAAAATTCATCTCAACAATCAAAAATCCAATCTTCCCACCGGTCTTTTTCTCTTCCTTCCCATTTGATTAAAGACTCCTGACCTCCTACAAGTTCAGCTGCCATATTATAACAATTCTTGTTACAAGTGTTTCCCCATTACAGTCCCAAAAGAGTCTCCATGGCTTCACATGCATAGACATAATAATTGAAGCCTCTAAATATCATAAGATTACGCTCGAGGGTAAATTATTGAACAACCAGTGAAAAACATCGTGGTATTTTATATTTCAGCTTCTGATTATTTGAAAGCATCCGATTCTCCTTTTTCCTCCACTTGTGAAGTTTCTTTCCTCTTTCCAACTCTATCCGAATATTTGGCAAAAGCTGCAGAAAGGGCAGACTTGACAGTAACTTCAGGTTCTTTCTTCCTTCGTTTGCTCACATCGTCTACATCCTCTTGCTTTTCTTCAATCAAGGAGGAAGATTCAGTATTGTTCCTGATCGATGAGCCTGGACTAGCTGGCTCATGTTGAACAGAAGTATCTGGAATGGCCTGCCGGCTTGAGTCCACCCGTTTGAAAGGTTCATGAAAAGTGTCAAACAAGCGCTTGACCTGTTTTCAGGAAGATTCAGATTTTTTTGGTTAATATAAGTGATCGATGGCTCAAGACCATTCACCAATGCTACAAAAAAATGTGCAACTGCAAATCATTGTTCCATTGCAGTTTCATTACTAGTAAAATTAATATACCTTGCGCTCTCCTATGCCAGGGCAACGAGCTAGATCTTCCATAGATGCGCCCATAATGTTAGAAAGAGACTGAAAAGACAAGAAAATAGCTTCATGAAAATGCTTTTGTGAATTAAATCAATCAAACTGTGTCTCTGCGTGCAGTAAAAGCCAGCATACGTACCCCAAATGAGGTACCAAGGGTGACAACATCAGTCTTGTTAACATGCCGTACTGTTGTAAGGGCATGTGTTAGCTACAGTTGAAAATGAAACAGTTTCAGCACAATTGATGGCCAAGCATAGAATGTAATCAATTTACGAACTGCATCCTTTATAATTTACTTTTGAAAGTATTAAATGAAACCCATAAAAATTAGCAAACAGAAAAGAAGAAATATAATCATACCCGTGATAGATAATCTGTATCCATTTGGCCTTGAATAATGTCTGCAGGCTTGTTTTCATAGACTTTTATGGTCTCCAAGTACCGGCCACATTCCTCCAGACTATAACAACAACAATACAACGGAATCACATAAAACCAATTAGACAGGTAAGAGAAGGGAAATCTTGCCAGATGCTACTACAGATATTGAAACTCACATGCATGTTGATGCTACATTAATCTCAAGCTCCTTTATATGGAAGAAATTCTGCTAAACCAAAAACTCGGAAAGAAACTACGATAAGCATTTCTCCTTCCAAGGTGTATGTATTAATTGAGTCACAAAAAAACAGTTGGAAAATAGATAGTCACATTAACATGCTTCATTAAGTTGCAACCACAAAATTTTTTCCTTAACAAGAAATTTTGGTTGCATGTTCTACTCAGTTTAATAACAAGTTCACGAGAGTGTAAAGATAATAGCAGCAGACTCATGCTCCTGAGAGGAAAGGAAAAAAAATTTATATTTTCAGTATGCATACTTCACAATCAGTTAAAAGTAAAGTCAATTGCACCTCCATCCACATAGGAGCGTACAGTCGTGAAGCAAAGCTGTTTTTGTAACTTCAAGTAGAGGCTTTATTACATCTTCCTGCAATCAACAAGAAAACAACAGACAAATGTCACTTTCTCTGTATAGATATCAGAACAGGTATAGTTAATTATAAATTTCTAGATAGATCACTGGAAACATAAACTAAAATAGATGCTATAGAAGTTTGAATGAGTGCCTGACCACATCAACATGGCATAAAACCACACGAAGCTTGAAATTCTTCTGCAACTCCCTAATTCTATAATACAAGTAGTCTGGATGCAGAAGATGATACCGAAGACTGCATTAAACCATCCAACTAAGTTAAGTCGATGCCAAAAAAATAGAACTATGATGAATCCAAATAGTAGAGGAATAACAACTTGTAAGATATTGAAGTGACCATGCAGGTAACAAGGAATCTAGAATAAAAACAACCCCACAAGCACAATGATGAACATGCAATTATCCCACGAAACGCCACAGTAACACTACTGGGCCTGCATCAGGATATCCAGTGTTGATTGACGATTTGATGTGCATTTTCATGGCGTTGACACTGACGACAGCAAGTGCGCAACAAACAAACTCTAGAACATCTAAATTCAGAAGAGAAAATAACCTGAGATAAAGAGCACAGGAGCTTTGGCCCAGCATGTAGTCACAAACAACATCGGCAAACGCCCATCTAACGTTCCTAATGTGTTTGAGCAAGGGGTTTCCCTTCTACAAAACGGAAAAAAAAAATCACTTCAAGACACTAATAATACAAGAAACACGTTGACAAAATAATCTCGTAAGATTATGCACGAAAAAAAAAGACAATACAAGAATTTAATTAGAATGCACTAAAATCATAGCGATTGTCGTAGTTTTACGATAACAATTTTAAAAGGCATTCGACCTGTCTGTGGCTCACAAGAATTGAATTGCGATTTTGAGAGGCCTGAGAGGAGGGTAACTTTGATGAAGATGCAGCAGCAGCAGCGGAAGACGGTGTGGAGGTTGAAGATGGAGCGTCCGATTGAGCAAATTCCCTAATGAACAAAACAATTAACAGAATGAACAGATAAAATAATAACCGTTACGGTGATAATGAGTAAAGAATTAAGATGCAGAAGTTTCAAGCGTGTATACCTGGGTTGCGGAGGAGCAGGAGGAGGAGGAGCGTAGAACTCGGAGGATTTGACGAAGGCGAAAGCTTGGGAAAAGGATTGGGAGGGAAGAAAGAGAGACGGTGGAGTAGATTTCGCCTGTGAACTTTCAACCACTTCCTGATAAGAAGGTATTCTTATCACCACGGAGCTCTTCTTCTGCTTTCCATCACTGTTTTTCTCTTCTTCCATCTGCTTCTGTATCTTTCTACTTTCTCCGATGCGCCTTCAATTCGCGCGAATTTCCTCCAACTTGTTTTTCACGGTCCTCTTGGCAAATGCGGCGTGCGAATGTCATCTGGGCTTGGGCTTGGGCTTGTTCAAGCTCCGATTCATTCTTCTGTCACCAATTAAACGGGGGTGGTACTCCCTGCACCACCACATTTTCTCCCTCCACCTCCCCAATTCTATTACATATTTTGAATTACAAAACTAACCTTTTATAATTACACAAATAACTTTTTTATTTTTTAATCCTAATTATTTACTTTAACCCTAAAATCTATCTTTCTACCCCTTCTCACCCACCTCCCAACTCCTCAGATTCTCACCTAAACTCCATCAGATTTGTTTCTCATCTTCCATTTTTCCTCACAAGGTTAGTGATGATATTTTTAATTTTTTTTTAAATGCAATGCATATATTTCTGTGTTGTGCTCTGCGTTTTTTTGTTGTGTGCGTGTGTTGGGAGAAAGGAAGAAGATAATCAGGCCAAAAACGGATGTCGGGTATCCGTTTGGATCTAAAACAGATGTCGATATCCGTCGACGGATGTTGACATCCGTTTTCCCTTAAACGGATGTTGACATCCGTTGACGGATGCTCACATCCTTTTAAAGATTATACGATTTATATTGTAGGGTTTTATTACGCACCTTCACGTCTCTGAATCTCTCACACCTCTGAACCAGCACCTTGAAGCACCACCACACTGTGAGGAAAAATGGAAGATGAGAAACAAATCTGATGGAGTTTAGGTGAGAAGGGGTAGAAAGATAGATTTTAGGGTTAAAGTAAATAAATAGGATTAAAAAATAAAAAGGTTATTTGTGTAATTATAAAATGTTAGTTTTGTAATTCAAAAAATATGTAATAGAATTGGGGAGGTGGAGGGAGAAAATGTGGTGGTGGAGGGAGTAACACCCATTAAACGGTGGATTGTACAATTTAAAATATTCCAGACGAAACCGTGGGGGTATTAAAAGAAAGAGCCAAGATTGGGCCTTTTAAAAAAAAAGAGAGTGATGCTCCCTCCACCACCCCATCTTCTCCCTACACCTCCCCCAATTTTTTTAAATTCTAAATTTACCCTTTTTACTTTTTATTTTTACCAATTTTACTTTTTATTTTTTAAAACTCTAATCTCAATCCTCTCTCACTTTCACTTTCTCTTTCACTCTCAACAGCAAACCCCCATTCTCCACTGTCACTTTCTCTCTTCCTCTTAATTTCTACTTCTGTTAACACAAAACTTGACAGGAAAAACAAATTCTACATGAACAACATGAACAAGAAGATAAACTGAACTAACCATTTTTTCTTTTATTCACTTTTTATTTTGTACTCAACAAACATACTTCTTTTTCATTGCACCATTGTAAGCACGAATGTAATTTTAAGCATAGATTTTCAAGTTTAGTTATTTAAAGACAAGGAAGTGGGGAAGAAATTTTTAGCAAATTA